AGAAGCGGTTGTGACTTGGTGTGATTGTTTGTCAATTGTAAGACGATCTTCTACGTGTTATCCAGAGTGATAGCTTGTCAGAGCTGCGTAGCACATTCTCTGAGTGCGTTGATCTTGTTTGTGTTGATCTGCTGAGTGCGTTGATCTTGTGTTGACAAGAGCACTCGTAGGCATCAAAGCTTGTGACGTATGTTAGTGTGATGGCTTGTCAGAGGTGCGCTAACACGGTAGCAGCGCAGTACCGCCGTACGTTGTACTCCTGCTTCAGCTTAAGAATAAGTAGCATGACGCATGACTTCATAAATTGCATTGTTCTTCTCTGTTGCGTTACAAATGTGGACTTAGGACGCGGGTGTGCATGTCGTGTGTGCTGATGAGAGTCACCAGGTACCTGCAGCAACACTGTATACCTTGTGCGAGGAAGTCCTCAGCTGTCAGGCCCAGTCAAGCTAGCTAACTTGTATTCACTTATTTGTGGTTTCAGGGGTCGATTCACAGGTCCTGGCCCCGCCTCTTCGCTGGTCGCTACTACGTCCACTCTCTCCCTGCTCCAAGAGCTTTATCGTGCCTCTTCTGAGGGTTGCTATACGTGGATATTGACATTAGCACTGAATGGACTCGTGGGTCAGAGCAAGCTATGAATGCTTACTATTCATGTTAAACCATCAAGAATTAAATAGATGCACCGGAAGCGGGCACACGCTGGAGGTGTGTTTGGGGGAGGAAGGTTGTGTGTATATATCTTTTTTTTTTCGTTTGCGGGTGTCTAGTCACGGCTCCTGACCCTCGCGTCTTATGGACACGTAAGTTCCTCCGTCTTCTAATAACATGTTCATTTTTCCACTAAAATTTACCTTGTATATAATTACTATCGCATTTGCTTTGTTTGTTTTCTAAGGTGAAGTCTAAGTTCTTTTCTTAATTCATGGTATAACTTAAATCTTTGTCTTCAAAGATTTGTTAAGTTATACCATGAATTAAGGAAAGATCCTGGACTTCACCTTACGAAACAGACGAAGCAGATGCGATAGTAATTATATACAAGGTAAATTATAGTGGAACAATTAGCATATTAGAAGACTGTCATTACTGGTTTATGGCCTCTTTAATTCTTATTACAACAATTGTTAAAAGCATGTATAAAGTTTGCCTTCACTTCCACACACACATCATTCCACTTCCCTACTATCAGGAGACCCAAAACATATGTTAATAATGGTATAAAATACCGACAAGTTGATGATTAAGACATGTGCAACAGTTATGTATCTTTATTGTTCAAACGTTTCGCCTACACAGTAGGCTTCTTCAGTCAAATACAGAGGCAGCAGGTGTAGTACTAAAATGAAGATGATGTAATGAGTCCATCAACCTTGGAGATACGAGGTGGTCAGACCCTCATGTTGAGCTCCATGGTTCAGAACGATGTAGTTCAGCTTCATGGAGGTGAACTCTACTCCAAGCTGAGGGACTGACCACCTCATATTTTCTAAGGTTGATGGACTCAAGACTACTGTGTAGGAGAACCGTTTTATCGATAAAGATACCCAACTGTTGCACGCGTGTCTTAATCATCAACTCAAAACATACTTCTTAACATCTCTCCTGTATTTAAGCTTCAAACTTCATCTTATTCCTGGTACTTTCCTTTCAATCAGTCTCTCTCTCCGACGTATTAATTTAGCAGATTATCGTGTATTTTATAATCATGTATTCTCTGGGTCTGTTATTTTGTTTAGTTCTCAGGGTTAGTTTTTTTGTCTCTCCTTATGACGCACATTACTCAGTTCTTGAACTAGTAAGGTTGGAAATCTTGAATACTACACTGGTGCTACGTATTTAAGAACAGTTCTGGTATATATTGTGTACTGAGCCCTACTGTGTTTTTTTTAACGAGATTCCTGAATGCTGATCTCTGATTTTCTCAGTCTCGTGAAGATTGCATTAGTCATGCGATTGATGTGCTCCTCCGGCGATATGTTCGGTGTGATGTTTGCTTTTAGATCCTTTTCTTAGCTCGATGTGTTTGCAGTTTTTTTTTTTTTTTTAGTCTGTACTCCGTCCCCGATCTCATCCGAATTTTATGACCTTCAGTTGTGTGTGTTTGTGTGTGTGTGTGTGTGTGTGTGTGTGTGTGTGTACTCACCTAGTTGTGGTTGCAGGGGTCGAATCATAGCTCCTGGCCCCGCCTCTTCACTGGCCGCTACTGGGTCACTCTCCCTGCACCATGAGCTTTATGTGTGTGTGTGTGTGTGTGTGTGTGTGTGTGTGTGTGTGTGTGTGTGTGTGTGTGTGTGTGTGTGTGTGTGTGTGTGTGTGTGCGTGCGCATCAGTAGTCAGTGTACGGAGGCGGATGTCTGGTTTAAGGTGGTGGTGCGCATGCCCAACACAACATTTTGTCTGTTGTTGTCACCCTCCCACTGACGCTGTACTCAACATACCTACCAACAGTAGCAGCAGCAACAGAGATGATGTGAGATACAACACACACCTGGTCGTCAGGACAACACTGGCGGTACACCTGAGGGCTTAATTACAGGCCGGAGAGGACCAGTACATAAATTACCTGCACGTACAACTAAACTCCGGCCATACAGAATACCAGTGAAGATAGTGAAGAAAAATAAATGGCCGAGGATAGACGGGAGGTTCCTGGTGCTGCAGGGTATAGAAAAAATGTTGATGGCAGTGTTATGAAGAAACACCTGGTAATAACTGTATGAGGAGCCAGGAGATAGAGACACTTCTGTTGACAGAATGTTCCCTGCTGATGCTAGCACTAGTTATGGATGCTGGTAGTGCCACCAAGACTGTGTAACGAGTAGGATGTGTCTTTATTATGTATGTATCTATTCATCCTACTGTATTTATGGATGTCAGGGGCTCATAAAAGCAACATCGTATAATACTTTCCCAGTAAATCAGTTCGAGAGTATATTTAATACCAACAAATTAAGATCACCGCACTTGCAAAATGTCGCATCTGAGGAGTGTTGAGTGACTGGAGGAAAGGGTGGGCAGGGCAGAGAGTGCCATAGGGGGGCCAAGAAGAGGGGGCATGGGAGTGCCAGGAGGGTGAAGGGGCGGGTTGTGCCAGGGATTTACTTTCTATACAGTAAGGCCTGGCATCAGCCCGGAGTGGGGTAGAGTGCACTGGTCAGCCGCGGAGGATGGGGGCCAGTCCGCTGCTCTGACTAGTCCGTGTTATTTATAGGAAGCATCAGTGCCCCTCAGTTACTCCTTGATAGTGTGAGGCACTGCCTCTGAGAGTGCCTGCCTTCTGCCCTCCATACTCCAACTTTTTTTTTTTTTTTGTCATGGCATTAATAAGTTAGTGAATTCTGGGAACGTTTTCTGACCGACCAGAGCTCGGCTAGTGGATCAGTGAAACGTTGTTAACCTTTGAAAACCTGTTCAATAATCTTGCTACCGTTGTTACTGCTGCTGCTATTACAGCAGCTTCCACTGTATCGCGGCTGCTGTTTCGTTTCTGTTGTGCTAATACGGCTGTTCCTAGAACTGTTACTGCTTTTACTAATCCTGCTGCTGCCACTGGCTACTACTACTACGACTACTACTACTACTACCATTACTACTACTACTGTTACTTGCGCTAAATAACCCACACCAGTTTAGCTCTTGTTATATAGGAATTAATTACTACTGTTACTACTACTACTGTTGCAGCTGCTACTGCTGCTGCTGTAGTTGCTGCAGTACTACACTAGGATAGTCATTGCCGGCGCCTGTGATCGTGAGTCTGGCACCGGTCAAGAAAACCCAAGTGTTTGTTTATCTTTGAGGCCTTAACTCCAGCTCATCAGAGAGATCATTTCTCTTTTATCCAGTTGGAACAAATAAAACTAACCCCACCTGTGAGAATAACTCTCAGTAGTGGCTTTAACCCAGCTAGGAGGATTACTTTGTAGTGGTAATCAAGCTGGGAGAGGAACTTTTTTTATTTTTTAGTAGTGCTAGATTTAATAGTGACCGGGAGAATGATATCTCTTGGTGCTAGCTGTAATTCTTCTAGGAGAATGACACCTCTTATTGCAAGCTTAAATCAAGTTGGGAGTATGGCACCTTTTAGTGTCGGTTTTAATTCAGTTGGGAGAGTGACAGCTCAGGTGTAGATGAGTTTCTTCAAGAATTATCAGGTAAGCCGTGTTGTGATGGCTAAGTGGGCATACAAGTAGCACCTCCTGGTTGATACGCAAATCTGAGAGGACAGTGTAGCCTCGGGTCGGGATGCCAGAACAGAGCTACCCTTGAGATTGGTTACAGGTATGTCACATATAACTGAGAGATGAACTCTGGGAACGGCTCGAGTTAAGATAATAAATGTAAATAAATGTTTGACCTCTTTCCTCGTACGGTGCTGTTGTTGTAATGTTTATGGGGAATGGGAGGCAGTTACGTCCTGTTCGAGGAAGGGAAGGGTAGGTTTTGATTTCTTAGATCAAGAGCCCTTCACAAGCATCAAGTTAGACTGGGTTACTCGGTGGACGTTAAATAAATGCGTATAAGTGCGTATATATGACCGTAGTTTGGAATTATCCGAGCTTGACAGTTACTATGGATTACGGTATCGGGCATTGACGTGTAGGAGACAAGTAGTGGCCCGTAGGTGATGGGTAGGGCACATAGGTGATGGTGATGGGTATGGCACTTACGAGACTAGTATTGACACGAATTGGAAGAGTTTCAGCATTCTAGAGAGAGGTATGGACACTTAGGGGCTGGGTATTTATTGACACTTTTAAGACTTACATTGACACTTCTGAAATTTATATTAACATATTGATATTGACACTTAGACAGGTATGACTTTGCTTAGGATTGTTATACTTCATAGTTGTTTTCATGATTCATGCGACACAGCACTGTTGAGCAAGTGTGTTACAGCACACATACATAACACTGCTCTATGTATATTATTACACTTAAGTTTTTCTGTGATATGTGGAACAGAGGATTATTTAAAATAAATGTTTTAATAGTGACAACAGGTGTAAGACGTTATGGTTGGTGCTTCGTGTGTGTTTTGTGCACCAAGTGTTAGTACGTTATGTATTCCAGTGGATTAATACAGTGTGATTAGTGTGCAACATTGTACCTTCTCTGGTACCTCCGTGTTGGAGTGTGTGAACTATCAGTGTGGAACTGACAACCCATTGTGGTTTGTATGGGTAAATGGTGCCATGTTGACGACCCAGAGTGGTGTATGTGGGGAAGTAATGCTATGTTGACGACCCAGTGTAGTGTATGTGTAGTGAAGCCAAGCTGACGAACCAGTTCCTCCATCATTTTTGCGTGCATGTGACAGCTGCGGCTTCGAATTGCAGCTCCTGGCCTCGCTTCGGACAGCTTCTGGTCATAGCTGTAGACCACAGCTACACCGCCAGCGAGAAAAGTGGACTGATTCTGGCCTCGACTTGCGGCAGCGCCGAGAGACGGTGGCCAAGGAGTGAGTTCCCAGGCGACTGTCCATGTTGTGTATCCTAGGCGAGGAGGAGGATGAATGTGTGAGTGGGTTACGTAATGCAGAAGTGGTTTAAGAGTCGAGGAGGCGGCGAGGGTGGCAGTGGTAGCGGAGGACCCATGGGTCTCGGCAACTCTGCTAAGGGACGCGCGTCCCTGCGCGACACCCAGACGGCCCTAGCCGCTGCCCTCGAGACACTCACACTCAAGGACAATGCCATCAAGCGCCTGGAGGAGGAGCTGCGCGAGAAGGAGGCCACCATAGCCGCCCTCAACACTCAGCTTGATAAACTGCGGTCGGTGTTGCCGCCGCTGACCGGCCAGCGACCGCACTCCCTACACGGACGGATATCCCTCCGTTCCCTCACTTGCCGCAACAACAACAGTGAGCACCACAACCGCAATAGCCTCCAGAATGACCGCTACTACCCGCCGCCCTCCTCCAACGCCAGCCTCATCGAGGGCGTGAGCGAGGGCGCCGAGGCCAGAGTGAAGAGGACAGCTATCTCGGCCGAGCCTGCTGCTCAGGGCTTCGACGAGGGCTACGACCCTGATTACGCCCCTGTGGTCGTCCCAAAGAGTCAGAAGTAAGTGTTTATACTTTTGGTCTCTGCCTGCTTCCTTGATGCTCCGTGAAGGGATCTTGATCCGGGAAACTGGAGCTATTTTTCCTTTCCTAGACTCAAACCTGTTAAACTCACAACCTCTCCTATTGCATGGACGTCGTGTCCCTTACGTGTTTAGCTCTTCCTCGTGAATATTATAATAATGTACCAGCTTCCTTAATGTCTGTGCTTCTCCCTTGTCTGTTCTTCCCTTGTCTGTGCTCTTCCCTTGTCTGTTCTTCCCTTGTCTGTGCTCCCCCCTTGTCTGTGGTAGTAGTGGAGGTAGAAGGTAGCAGTAGGGAAGGTAGTATGGTGGAGGAGAAGCTAGTCAAATACTGAGAAAGAGGAGCACTGTAAGGGAGCTAGGTGCCCACAAGGGAGCTAGGTGCCCACAAGGGAGCTAGGTGCCCACAGGGGAGCTAGGTGCCCACAAGGGAACTAGGTGCCCACAGAGGGTAAGAGCAAGAACACAGAGGGGGGGGGGAATAAAAAAATAAAAGAACAGATACCCAAGGCAGAAGAGAGACAACCCAAAGGAGAAAAAGGAAAGAGGAAAGGGGAAGAGGGAGAAGAAGAAAAAGAAAAAGGAATCAGGTTAAGTCACGGGTGTTCTGAAATTTGTCTTCTCCGTTTCCCGCAAGCTATGCACAGTGGCATGTACATTCACTACTTTTCTTATCATGCTTCCTCTGTCAAGAAAAGTGTTCTTATCTCCCTCTTTCTCCGTGCTCTCCGCATTTGTGATCCTCGGTTCCTTCAATCAGAAATTTCCACTCTTCATAATTCGTTTTCCCGTCATGGCTACCCTTCCCATTTCATAGACTCTGCTGTCTCACGTGCTAAACGTAATTTCTTCTCTCCCAAATTCTCTACTCTTGGGAACTCTTCTGTCCTCTGCTTTCCCTACATTTCCGGTCTTTCTAATCTCAACAACTCTCTCCGTTCCTTAGACATCAGACTTGCTTTCCGCCAGACTAACACTCTTCGCACTAATCTCGTTCATACCTCTCCTCCCTCTATAGATACTCCTGGTGTCTGCTCTATTTCTTGTTCCTCCTGTCCTCTTCAGTACCTTGGAGAAACTGGCCGATCTCTTTCTGACAGACTTAGGGAGCACAAAAGCAGTGTTAGGCTTGTCGACACTAACAATGTTCCTTTCTGTCACGTCAGAGATCACAGCCATCCTATTGACTTGTCTTCTGCTAAAACTGCCTTCCCTACTTCCAACTTTAACAGTCGCCGTCTGGTTGAATCCTCCCTAATACACAACTTTCCTTGTATGTATCTTAGTCCTGGCTTCGTCTCTGTAGATACCTTCCTTTCCCACTATATTGTAAAATGCTTCAAGCTTCAGAACACCCGTGACTTAACCTGATTCCTTTTTCTTTTTCTTCTTCTCCCTCTTCCCCTTTCCTCTTTCCTTTTTCTCCTTTGAGTTGTCTTTCTTCTGCCTTGGGAATTTGTTCCTTCATTGTTTATTTTTTATTTTTACCCCCCCCCCGTCTGTGTTCTTGCTCTTACCCTCTGTGGGCACTTAGCTCCCTTGCAGTGCTCCTCTTTCTTAGTATCTGGCTAGCTCCTCCTCAATCATACTACCTTCCCCACTACTACCTTCTACCTCCACTACTACCACTACCACCTCCTGCCTATATATACTCCCTCCTTCTCTCCTTTTCGTTAGTGTGACTTTGCAAATGGTCCAAGTCGGACCGAAACGTTGTCGTAAGCTCCTCTCGTCTGTGTGAGGGTTATTTGTCCGTCATTGTGTCTAGCTATACTGAACTTCTTTTATCCACATATTCAAATGTCTCACTCTTTCTCCCTTACTCTCTACATACTTGGTATTTTAATAAGACAAAATATGCTGCCTATGACACGTTACTGAGAAGACGTTTCGCCCACCATGGATGTTATCGTGTTCTTTGCGGACGACACGTCTTCTCAGTAAAATGGCATGGTTTCTATCGTTAAGGTAGTTGTTCACAAGTGTATAGTACAGTGTTTATGGAAACATACAAAGATCCAGGGTTAATAATACCATAGAAAGATCCGGGGTTAATAATAAACATAGAAAGATCCGTGGTTAACAATAACATAGAAAGATTCGGGATTAATAACATCATTATCCAGCTTGTATGTTTGTAGATGAATGGTTCAGAGAACCGACATGTTGATAAATTAGACACATGTGCAACTCTTGGGTATCTTTATTGAGGAAACTTTTCGCCACACAGTGGCTTCATCAGTCCATACAAAGGAGAATCTTGAAGAACAGGAGGAGAATGAGGTAATCAGTCCCTCAACCTTGAGTCGATGTGGTCAGTCCATCAGATTGATGGACTGACCACATCGACTCAAGGTTGAGGGACTGATTACCTCATTCTCCTCCTGTTCAAGATTCTCCTTTGTATGGACTGATGAAGCCACTGTGTGGCGAAACGTTTCCTCAATAAAGATACCCAAGAGTTGCACATGTGTCTAATTTATCAGCTTGTATCTTACTGTTCCACCTCCACTATACAACTACCATAGCCAAGTGGTCAGATATGCGGCTCTCATCTCCCAGCTCCGAGAGGGAGTCAGTTCTCCTTGTGACGTGGTGCTATTAGCACCACGTCACAAGGGACACTAAAGAGGTTGATTTAGTGCACCGTGTGAGAGTATTTATGCCTCCTATGACGTATGAAGTTATTTCCTGGCAGAGATATATATTTTTTTTACCAGTATCGGCTGGCACCGGTCGGTTAGGCTAGCTAGCTAGCAACCACGAGGTATGGTCTGGGACCTGGTCAATCAGGCTAGCTAGCTAGGAACCACAAAGTCTGGTCTGGGACTGGGTCGATCAAGCTAGCAAGCAACCAGGAGACCTGGTCTAGCACCTGGGTCGCGGGGGCGGTAACCTGTCCCCACACACTAAGTTAAAAGACACAAATGCAATTATACACAAGTTCTCCTGGCGACGTTTCGCCCACACAGTGCTCTTTATCCACTCACAACCTGATAAGAGGCTTTTATATAACAGAATTTGTGTTTACCGACGTGTGGATGTCCTGGATTATTTACTTTCACGTTCCATCTTTTACAGCTTAAAATAATTACGTATAACCATTGGGAGAGATTGTCTTAAGTTGTATTTAATACACAGGTCAGTGGCTCTCAAGGGCGGACCTACGCTTGTTACTGTTCTCCTGTTCTTCATGCTGTTCACTTGTGATTGTTATCCCGTTCTTCATGCTGTTCACTTGTGATTGTTATCCCGTTCTTCATGCTGTTCACTTGTGATTGTTATCCTGTTCTTCATGCTGTTCACTTGTGATTGTTATCCCGTTCTTCATGCTGTTCACTTGTGATTGTTATCCCGTTCTTCATGCTGTTCACTTGTCATTGTTATCCCGTTCTTCATGCTGTTCACTTGTGATTGTTATCCCGTTCTTCATGCTGTTCACTTGTGATTGTTATCCTGTTCTTCATGCTGTTCACTTGTGATTGTTATCCTGTTCTTCATGCTGTTCACTTGCCATTGTTATCCCATTCTTCATGCTGTTCACTTGTGATTGTTATCCCGTTCTTCATGCTGTTCACTTGTGATTGTTATCCCGTTCTTCATGCTGTTCACTTGTGATTGTTATCCCGTTCTTCATGCTGTTCACTTGTGATTGTTATCCCGTTCTTCATGCTGTTCACTTGTCATTGTTATCCCGTTCTTCATGCTGTTCACTTGTCATTGTTATCCCGTTCTTCATGCTGTTCACTTGTGATTGTTATCCCGTTCTTCATGTGGCCCACTTGTGATTGTTATCCTGTTCTTCATGCTGTTCACTTGTGATTGTTATCCCGTTCTTCATGCTGTTCACTTGTCATTGTTATCCCGTTCTTCATGCTGTTCACTTGTGATTGTTATCCCGTTCTTCATGCTGTTCACTTGTGATTGTTATCCCGTTCTTCATGCTGTTCACTTGTGATTGTTATCCCGTTCTTCATGCTGTTCACTTGTCATTGTTATCCCGTTCTTCATGCTGTTCACTTGTCATTGTTATCCTGTTCTTCATGCTGTTCACTTGTGATTGTTATCCCGTTCTTCATGCTGTTCACTTGTGATTGTTATCCCGTTCTTCATGCTGTTCACTTGTGATTGTTATCCGTTCTTCATGCTGTTCACTTGTGATTGTTATCCGTTCTTCATGCGGCCCACTTGTGATTGTTATCCTGTTCTTCATGCGGCCCACTTGTGATTGTTATCCTGTTCTTCATGCTGTTCACTTGTGATTGTTATCCCGTTCTTCATGCGGCCCACTTGTGATTGTTATCATGTTCTTCATGCGGCCCACTTGTGATTGTTATCCTGTTCTTCATGCGGCCCACTTGTGATTGTTATCCTGTTCTTCATGCTGTTCACTTGTGATTGTTATCCCGTTCTTCATGCTGTTCACTTGCGATTGTTATCCTGTTCATGCTGTTCACTTGTGATTGTTATTCTGTTCTACATGCTGTTCACTTGTGATTGTTATCCTGTTCTTCGTGCTGTTCACTTGTTGTGGTTGTTACCCTGTTCTTCATGCTGTTCACTTGTGATTGTTATCCCGTTCTTCATGCTGTTCACTTGCGATTGTTATCCTGTTCATGCTGTTCACTTGTGATTGTTATCCTGTTCTTCATGCTGTTCACTTGCGATTGTTATCCTGTTCATGCTGTTCACTTGTGATTGTTATCCTGTTCTTCGTGCTGTTCACTTGTTGTGGTTGTTACCCTGTTCTTCATGCTGTTCACTTGTTGTGGTTGTTACCCTGTTCTTCATGCTATTCACTTGTGGTTGTTAGCCTGTTCTTCATGCTGTTCACTTGTTGTGGTTGTTACCCTGTTCTTCATGCTATTCACTTGTGGCTGTTAGCCTGTTCTTCATGCTGTTCACTTGTTGTGGTTGTTAGCCTGTTCTTCATGCTGTTCACTTGTTGTGGTTGTTACCCTGTTCTTCATGCTATTCA